ATAAATTAATAAACATTTTTAAAAGCTTATAGAATGCCTACTCTACATCAATATCAGTTCATTTGTAGGGCAAAGATGTAACTGCTTATATGTCTTTGAGATGGCACACACAGCAGAACATAGGATGTGTATATGCAGCCACTTGGAAGGCTTGTGTGTTGTCTTTCTTTCATCATTCTGGGCTGTGAATAATCAATCTATGTGAAATGTTCTTCTTCCCTGGTTGAGGTAAGGGAGATCCTGTATGGTGATTGCTGTGTTGCCCTCATAATTATCACACCATGCAAGACTGTGTATCATATAAATTTTTCATGTTAAGAAAAATTATTACTAAATTATTAAATTTAAATCAGGGGTAACATTTTAACCTGATATTTTTCTATACATTGTCCAAGGAGTGCAGTTACCAGTGGTTTACCAATAAGGTAGATGAGCAGCATTTTCCTCCCCCCTTTTTGTTTGTTTCTTGGAGTTGAGTGTAAGTGAAGACAGAGATTTGTATGGAAAGAAATCAGGAAAAGTATATAGGTTTGCTTATAGAATCATGTTTCTCTCAATAGCTGTTTGCTTCCAAGGAGGTTCCTTTTCCTGATAAGCTATGCATGGGGAAGACATCAACTAATTGGAACCAGAAAGGCTGATGGTAGTCAACCTGTGCTTCCAATCTCAACCTCATATGTTTTCCAACAGTTTTTAGAAGTCTAAAACATGAGCTCCAAGGTGATATGATATTAAGTCCCTTTTTTTGAGGCCACCTGTCTTCTGGAGGTAATGGGTACTCAATATCTTGATCGCAGAGAGAAACCTGTACCCTCCTTGACCACTTCTATGCGTTCCTCAGTTATATGTGCATAATGTGCGTCTGGTCCAGAACTTTGCTTTATACTTTAAGCAACTGAAGTCTGAGTGTTAAGTGGCTTGTCCAATAGCCAGTAGCAACTTAGTATAGTCAAGAAGCCAGTGCAGGCCTCAGTAACACAGGCAGCCTTTCCTCTGTGTCACACTCACATCTGGTGTCTGAGCTTCGAGCTTCAGCCCATTCCACTGCTTTCAGCATTCTCTGTCCCTAGGCAGTGTGTAGGCCGAGTCAGACACTTGCTCCTCCTTTTAGTTTTCAGGTCCGTTTCCAACCCTCTACCCCATCTGCCTCAGATGGGCGATGAAACCTCTTTCCCTCCTCTGTGCCAGCACCTGTCACTTCCAGTATATGCGATGGTGCTGACTTCTCCACCAAGGTCACCGCTTTAGGGCTGCTGACCTCAGCTGCTCCCTGATTCTGTGGATAAAGGAAGTAACAATTCATGCAATTCAGTTAACCCTAGAGACCTGTTCCTGAATGTTCCATCATCCCCTGGGGAAAACCAGTCTGTTCTGTGTGAGACAGGCTTTACCCTTCTTAACCTTCCCCTCAGTTTCTCAATTTTGCTCCCAGAAGCAACTTGTGCAGTTATTGCAATTTTCCATTTTCTGTCCTTTAAAATGTGTCACAGTTAGATAGACAGTGAGCTTCCTTCTGCCTGAAATTAGTCAAATTTTCCTCAGACCTTCTGCCATCTCCCTTAATAAGGCTGCCTTGTTCTTTTTGATTCCCACCTCTATACCCCCCATGCTGCTACTCCTCTCCTCTGTCTTTGTTTTGTTTTGTGTCTGAAATTCTAAGATCAGCGCACTACCAAAATCTCCCTTTATGCTTGTCACCATTCTATCTTATTTTCTGCTGTAGTTTAGGATTGTGGTTGTCACTATACAAATATTGTTACATAAAACTCAAATTGTATTTTATCTTGTAGATTTCCGGAGCATAAGTTCTGGAACACTGAAACTGAGTTTATGACTAAGCAGATTTGTCCTTAAAAGGTTCCGGAATGCTTGTGCCTTTTTTATATTTCTAATGACAACACTTTATCATGGAATTCTATCTCTGGTGCAGAGATAGCACCTTACATGAGAGGTGACTTCCCTTTTCCGGAGATGTGTCAGGGTTAGTGCAGAAAAGGGGGTTGGCACTGACTCAAGACCCAGAGTGAGTGTGCCTATCCCTGCATGGCATGGCTGGTGACAGCTCTTTCTGAAGTCCCAGTGGAGGAGGAAGACAAACCAGCCTGTGGCAGCAAAGGCAGTCTGGGCACAGCCTGTGATGCCAGCTGACTGAGGGGGTTAGGGTGGGAACCACACAGGCAGGATGCTTTCTCTTGGCAGGAGGGTGTTGCCGTTGGGCCAGGAAAATACCCAAGTAGATGCAGAGATGCATGCCACGTGAGTCTGTAGGTTCAGTTTTCAGAATTCCCCTGTGATTCCTCCAGATACACCTTGTTCCATAGCCATGTGGAGGAAGTTTCAAATTTTCCTGACTCTGCATTGTTTAAATCATGGGTGGCCATTCATTCGTATAATATAATTATCACTAGCCTTTTGGGGTATAAATAGTTTTATTACAAACTGTTAGTGTATTTCAGTATATAGCAATATTACAAATTTGGAAATCTGTGTTCACATATGTTCAATATTAAGGCAGAGTTAACATTTTTATTATTTTTTTTCAAACAAGATAATTCTTTCAAAATAGTATGTAAAATTTCCTTGTATTCACTATATTACACATGTTAGTAAGTTAATACCTAACTAGACAACCAACAACAAAAAGCTTTGGTTATGGTGCAATTACCAATTCTATGGAAAAAAATTGGCTCATATGATGCTAAGTGCATTAAAATGTCATTAAACTAACTGTACTATTTTTGTAGAAGCTATGTTTTTCCAAATAGATTTCTTTTTCTCTTGGCATTTTCTTTTTCTTACAGTGTAAATTTCAAACATTTAATAGAATCATTGCATGAGTGTATATACATACAATGGCATAAAACTTTTGTTCAAAAATTTGTGTTAGCAAAAACAGCAACAAAACCCACTTATCTTTGTGACAGTACTGACTGATGTAGAGTTTAAGAATATAGTATGCTTCAAATAGCTCCTAATAGATACTGGAAACCTCTGCTGTTTGTGGAAAATATTTTTGTATCCATATAGCTTTGTAGTTATTTTAAAAGATTTGCTTGTTTTTATTTGAAAGGCAAATTTACAGAGAAAAGAGGAAAGAGAAAAAGAGACAGTTCTTTCAGCTGCTGGTTCACTCCCCAATTAGTCACAGTTGTTGTAGCTGACCTGATCCAATACCAGGAGCCAGGAGGTTCCTTTGGGTCTCCTGTCTGGGTGCAGGACCCAAGGACTTGTGCCAGCCTCCACTGCCTTCCCAGGTTATAAACAGGGCATTGGATCAGAAGAGGAGAAGCTGGGACAGGAACTCGATGCCCATATGGGATCCTGATGCCATATAGACAGAGGATTAACCTACTGTGATAGCCCCAGCAGTCATTTTTAATAACATTTGTTTATTAAGTATCCCCCCCTTACTACCGAGTGTAGTATAGAGATGACTTAATTTGTTAAAGAAGAAGAAAAATCCCCTGAAGAATAAAAGATTCCCAAGAAAGAAATCAGCGGGGCTGGCACTATGGTTCAACAGACTAATCCTTCACCTGCAGTATCAGCATCCCTAATGGGCACTGGTTCTAGACCCAGCTGTTCCACTTCTGATCCAACTCCCTTCTTATGACCTAGGGAAGCAATGGAGGATACCTCAAGTACTTGGGCTCCTGAACCCATGTGGGAGACCCAGAAGAAACTCCTGGCTCTCAGTTGTGGATCAGCTCAGCTCTGACCATTGCAACCATTTGGAGAATATACAACAAATAGAAGATTTTTCCCTATAAATCTGCCTTTCAAAAAAAAAAATATATATATATATAAAGAGCACCCAACGCAATAGCCAGGATCCCATATGGGCACAGGTTGTGTCCTGGGTGCTCCACTTTCCATCCAGCTCCCTGCATATGTGTGTGTATAAAATAAATTTATATATTTTATATATTATTTATTATATATCATTATTATATATGTTACATATTTTATATTATATATAGTATTGTTATATATTTATTATATATCATATATATATATAATAAACAGGCAACCTGAATATTTAAAGAAGAAAGGAAAAAGATGGAAGTCAGTGTAAGAGTTCTGGAGATTGGGTTATATAACTTTATTGAACTGTGCACTTAAAAATAGTTGCAATGATACATTTTATACTATACATTTTGTTTACTGTACTTTAAAAAGAGCTCAGTATAGGTGAGGTGGAGTACAGAGGTAAAAATTGGTGCTACAGTAGAAGCGGTGATGAATTGAGTCTGGGAGAAGGATGGAGCAAGGAGACTGTACCTGGGCAGGGACCATGTGGGCACCACCAGGCTGATGTGAGGTGAGAGCACAGGAGAGACAAGGCCCTTTTGCTTGTCGCACTGACACTCGGTACATTCTCTGTCTCTTGTTATCCTCCCTACAGTGGTGTCTCTGCGGACAGCCTGTCATCCAACAGGAAATCCTGTTAGTAGTGCTCCTTAGGTGTCACACGGCCCATTCCCAAATTCCCTTGGATCCTAACAAATGTTATATATTCTTCCGTGTGTTTGTACCTGCTGGCTGTGGCTAACCGTAGAAGAGAGAGGAACAGTGTTAGCTTCCTGGCTGGCCGTGGATGGCTGTGGCAGATCAAAGCAGGTTTTAGCCTCCCATCCTCCAGCCCATCGGTGCCCCTCTGCCTCAGCCTCTTCTCTTGGGACATCCTCACTCTGAGAAGGCTTCCAAGTTTGTTTCTGGTGATACCCACTCAGGAAATCTCTTTTATCATCAGAAAACTTAGCCAAAAAGAAATGAGAACAAGATGCACTAGGAATCTGATCAGTTTCTTCAGTCGTTAGAACATTTTCTTGCCTTTAATTTTATAAGTAACTCAAGTTTATGGTAATCTTTCCCATTTCCAGGGAAGGCTTTTTGTTTGTCTTTTTATGGTTTTGTTTACTTGTTTTTGGTGATAGGCTGGCTTTGTTTTTTTTTCTTTCATTGATTTACAGTACTAACTTTGGCTCTGTTTCCATTAGGAGATGAAAGCATGGAAATTAAAAAACAAATTACAGGAATGAGAAGGTTACTGAATGACAGCACTGGGAGGATATATCAGCGTGTTGGCAAAGAAGGAGAAAAATTAAAGGAAGAACCTCAGGATTTGGACTTAGTCTGGCCTCAGCGTTTGAACTCCTCTATGGAGGTCCCACAGAGCCTCCACCCCTCTTCACGTGGTGCTTGGAATGAGCTACCGCCGCAAAGTGGGCAGTTCTCAGGGCAGTGTGGCACCCGTTCTCGAACCTTCCAGAGCCAGTCCCACACTGCTGTGAGCTCCAATGGTATGGTTGTCATCATACATTCAGAATACACTCATGGGAGTCTGTCTTGACTTTATAATATTTCTTAATATTCAGCTTATTCTTTGACATCAAGTCATTAAACATTTCCTTAATCTGTGTCCCTCACTTTGTCTCCCTGGAGTTCTGCCTTTCTAATAAGTGAACAAATCATTTTTTATAAAGTGAAAGTCTCTTCATTTAATTTTCATAAGTTTTAAAATTTATTTATTTATTTAAAATTAAAGTGAATTCAAAATACAAGGAGAAAAAATAATGCTTTTTTTGGTCATGCTAATTTTCCAGCCTCTGATGTTGAAAAATCTGACATTTTTACTTGCTCAGTACATTATGTATAGGTATGCATATCTCATTTTCATGAAGAGAATTTTTTCAAAAACACTTTCAATTTAATTGAAAAAATGAAGGATTTTCCTTTCATTTTTATTTTATTATATCTTTCAAGAAACAGAATTATTTTTACTTTTTGGAGTTTTTTTTTTAACACAGTTTTGCAGTAAGCAGTTCAGAGACTTGAAGAGCCATCCTGAAACATGGAGGAGATAGCAAGGACCCCTTGAGAAGTAGGGCTGGCCTTCTCTCCTCTCCATGTTGCAGATGCCAGTGTTCAGGTTAGAGGGAGATGACTCTTTAAATGCTGCTCCATAAAAAAATAAAAAGCCACTCCTCTTTAAAATTAGAAAATGATTTATAACAAGCTGAGAAGAGTTGATTTTGTCCTCTATAAATGATAAATATAGTACGTTGAGCATAATCAGGAGTCTTCTGTAAGACCTTCCTCACTCTTTAACCATCAGAGAGACAATAACCGAAATTAAAAACCCTTCAGTATGTGTATAATTGGTAATCCCCATGCAGGTCAGTTTTTAGAGAAGACAGTACTCTGCTTCCCTGTACCCAGCAAGGATGGTGAGTTTACTTCGGGAAATGTTGTTAATTTTAATAATAAAAATCAGACATAAATTTCCTGTATCGATGTGAAAATATATCATTTTGTGTTTATTGATCGCATGCATTCAGTAGGAATGCACTGTATATAATGATGACAACTGTGGCATTCCACTGGAATTATTTGCAATTTTAAAGTTGTATCATCTTAGTTTGCCACAATTTTGAGTGTGAATAATTGTGCTACTCCAAAACATTAAGTTCTCTTTAAGTAATTCATATTCTGCTATGGTAAGCTTTTCTATAGAACCTTCAAATAAGGTGTATTATAGGATTTCAATTATGTTCAATGTATAATAAGATATATAACTGGATCAAAATCTCAGAACTTCCCCTGGCGGACTATGAGAAAGCACAAATGGTAGCAGTTTCTCAACTCTTTGTTTTGTGCTGGAGGAAACCCCACTGTAGCTGCCATCTTCCACATACATTGTTCTCCAAGGACGATGGAAGATAGACAGCATAGAAAGTTGTATTGAGAAAAATATGTCCAGTGTACCAAGTGAGAAAGAGATTGTGGTGCAAGAAATGTATGAAATGGGCCTGGGTAAAGGACGTGAGAGGATCTGCTTGTTGAAGTTAGAGACAAGAAAGCCAACTCACCAGGCCCTCTGACCCATTAGCCTGTTGTCCCTCCTCTGCTTCATTTTTTAAATAACATGCTTAATAGTAAAATAATTTTTTGATCATTAAACTCATTTAATATGAACTCTGATAGCAATAAGCAGCTATGTTTTCGTCAGGCTTCTCTCAGCACTAGTTTCCCCTGCCCCCCAACTAGCATGAATGTGTTCCTGATGAATTTTTTGGATATTGTTTTCCAAGATGAATAGCTCTAACAATAGAAAGGCTTACCAGGGCCATGCATTGTGTGCGTGTGTTCTCACAGGCTTACCAACAATGACACAGCACGCACCTTGCCATGTGGAAGGCTGGATAATTGTGGAAGGCTAGAATCTGACTCCAAAATTTAGATTATGAAAATTAGTAGGTATGTTGTTTCTTTTGGGCATAATACTGTCGAGATAACTTCTTTGCTTTCTCTTTATAATTGTTTTTTGTTTGTTGTTTGGTGGTGTGTCATTCTTTTCTTTCATGCTTAGGAGAACTTCCAGTGGTGAACTCATCAGTCGGAACAAACTGTTGTACTTGTAACTGCCAGTCAACATTACAGGCCATTCTCCAGGAACTCAGGACCATGAGGAAACTAATGCAGATCCAAGCAGGTACAAAGATGACGCCTCACAATGAGTCCTTTCCTTTGTTAGTGTGTATCTGCTATCTGCAGTGGGATGCTTATCATGCTGTCATTACATAGTCTTAGCCACCTTGCTGCTGTCTCCCCCCCACCTTTTTTTTCCTTGCTATCTTGCTGTGTCTTTTGAGTATCTCTTTTCTTAGCTTTTTGTGCACTCTTTTGTCTTTAGCAAATTGCACAAATTTTTTTGTTGCTACTGCTATTCATAGAGTTTAATATACGCACTCCATAAATTTTACCTGGCGATATCCTGCTACTTCACAGGTGTCAGTTAATTAAGTTTTGGAGCAGTTGTGTGTGGAGGTATGGGCTGAAGATGATCTTGGACATAGGCATATCAAAATGTCCAGCCTCCAGGTCTGCTTGTGGCTATTTTTTCTCACATGTTCAGACTCTGTGTGATTCCTGTCTTGGTTCTCCTCATTGCTGTTAGACTAGTTGAAGAACAGAAGAGCAGTGAATTTGTAGTTTGGGATTGTGTAACCAAACAGAGAGGTTTGCTGTCACATGTCTGCAAATAAATAAAATAAAACAAAATCAACATGTCTTGTCTGCTTGCCCAAGGAGTGTGTACCTTAGAGGTAAACCCTCAGTTTGTCGCCCCAGTCGTAAGTTTCTGCCTTGTAGAGCCACATGTGGGTCAGTGGGAGGACAAGTCAAGTCGGTGTCTGCCATTTGGCTTTCTGCTCCTCTCACTTCCTCCCCCGCCCTCCCCCAACACAGCATCCTAAAGCTGTCCAGCTCTTCCGTTTGAGCTCCTTCTCCAAGTTTTGGCTCTGTGGGAGGTATGTAACTTGCTGCCTGGTGGCATGTGTAGGTCACAGTCCTTTTTGCATATGTACAGCTCATTTGGTCAGTCTGTGTCTGGTTGAACTGATTTAGGCCAGCTTGGAGGGGAGGCCCATAAACACAACTTAAAAGTGGTGGTTTAGTAATCTGACTTTTAGGGCTGTAGGTCCTGTGGAAGAACAGGGCAGGGAGATTTTCCCAGAAGGAAAGGGAAACACAGTAGGGGCTTCTGATTTTTTGTTTTGTTTGTTTTATTTTTTGGAAGTGTCAAAAGGACACTCAGTTTTACACAGCTGCCAAGTTCCTCCTCATAAAACTGTGACTTGTGAGCTTCCAGTTTCTCATGTATAAATGGAGTAGTGAGCTAAATCACTGGGTTGTTTTAAAAATGGAGTGAAATGGAAAATGTAAACTTGCAAACTTGATGCAAGCACAAGCTGTTTTTATTGATGTAATTTCAAAACTGATGGAACATTTCTTGAAGTCTGAAAGTTTTAAAATCGTCAATGAAACATCTAATTTCATTATCTCCACTTTTGGAGAATGAAGGTGTTGTATTTAGCTAGACAGTCAGCCTCTTGCCTTCCCTTGTGAAGGAACACAACCAGGGGATGCTGATAGAGGAGAGCAGGGAAGCAGAATTTATTAAAAGACAAAGGATATTATACACTGTGATGTAAGTGTGGTCAACCTTATGAAGGGGAATTGGCTGCTTATACGCCCACAGGCTTAGGTCATTCTTTTGTAAGATATGGAGTGGCACACAGGGCATGGTCTGTTTGAGTATCCAAAGGGAGCATAGTTTGGAGTGAGGCAGCAGGGAGGTGGTCATCTTTAGGCAGGCAGCCTGGTGTTGGTGCTTGAGGCAGAGTGAGGCATGATGGAGTGAGTGTGCTGAACCTTCAGCCGTGTGGAGTCACATGGAAGGTGATGGGATTTGGGTGGTGTGCAGGCCTGCATGCTGGCGGTCCTCAGTGCTTTAAAGTCCACTAACTTCCTGCCTACCCAAATCAAAGTATCAGAGTTTTGGGGCTCATAGGTATGGGGGTCATAGGTATAAGAAATAGTAGATGTTTCTATTAAGCTTTCCTTCTTAGCAGAGGAAACTGCTGCTAGATCTTGGGGAAGAGCAGAAAACACAGTATAGCCATATCACAACTGACAAGTCTGCCCTTTCATCATAATGGCATTCAGGAAGGTCACCCTCCAGAAACTGTTCTTGGTGCCATTTAGTAAATTGTAGTAAAATCTTCATATTTAGTGATGTGGTTTTGACACAAAAAGTTTGATGTTTAGACCTATCAGTCACCTTCACCCAAGATCTCATTAAAATAAGGTAAGCTAAAGGCTTTCTGAAGACCAACATCTTTTGAAGTACTGAATTTGGTTTTATCCTGAGGCAGAAATAAGCATGTTGCTCAATTCAGTCAGCATTTGAGTCACCTAATTCCACCACTGTAATCTGTGTTCTTATTAACCTGGCAAAGGTTAACATCGCCTAAAGAAGAAGCTCAGAAAGAAAGGTTACTTTATTACACACAGATTCTTTCCTCAGAGGAAGAATTTGTTAGCACTTAAGAAAATATGCATATGAAATTATAATGATTTATTTTGTTACTTAAGCTCCTTACTCCTGAAATGGCAGACTACAAATTGCAACCATTTAAATCCTTGACTGAAGCCTTTTTAGAATCTATTAAGTAAATGCCATTTTGTCACCATGTTTTCTTTTCTAAACCTTTACAGATTAGGGAGGTAAATGATTCTAAAGCTATGGATAGCATAAAGGATGAACAGAATAAATTACTCCCCTTTAATTTTCTTCAACTTAAAAATGTGTGTTGTATGGATAGATTTACTTAAGGTTTATTGTCTGTGAGACTTAAATTATATTCAAAAAATTTTCACCTTTATTTTAGGGAGAAGACCAGAGGAAAGATCAAGTGGTTAGATCTGAATGCTGGAGGTTTGCAGAAGGAACAGCAAAACCCAAATATTTGCTGTGTTCTTTAAACCAAACATATTTTACTTTTAATTTGGAATTGCGAGGCTTAGAGAGACCGGCAGGCCAGGGCGTCTGCATCACTGTTCTGGGTGCCTACTTTATGTTGGGGACTTAGACAGCCTGAGCTGCAAATGCAGATAGTACAGAGAGAAGCTCCCCATTTGCCATAGAACACCCCCAAAACTGCAGAAGGCCAGTCACTGACCTGGGGTGGTGGAAGAAAAGAGGAGTTGATTGCAGTGCACAGAGCAAGAAGCAGGGCAGCCATTGCTTACTTCCTGGGCTCTTTGAAGGGTTGGGCGGGATACTTACAGACTGAAGTTGGGGCTGAGATGTGGTTGTTCCAGCTCTTGTTCCAGGTTGTTCTGTAGGCCATGAGACGCTGCTTCAAGTGCTTGGTGCTGTTGAGTTCTTAGGGAATTTTTATGATGATATAGTGGGTTTCAGTCAGTCTGGGGGCTACATGCAGGGGGGTGGTTAACTTCTACTCTGGGCCTGGAGTTCCTGGAAAAGAAACCCCTTGAGAGGAGATGTTATCAGTTGGAGAAACAAACGACCTTACAAGTCCACTGATTAGAAACTTGTAGGGCAAGCTGTACCACTCTCCCAATTCAATGAACTGATTTTAGCATTTGCAATCATAAGGGTCAGAAGAAGAACTTTCCTCTAAGGGAGGAAGCCTGGGAAACTACTGGATGATATCTAGTATCTGTTGGTATACAAGGCATTGTATAGGAGTTCATTTCAAACTGGCTGCACATTAGATTCACTGAGGAGCTTTCAGAAAGTACTGATTCATAGGCCCCAACCCCTGGAAATTTTGATTCACATAGTCCAGGGTGGAGCTGAGATACCAGAGAATTTTTTTTTTTTCTTTTTTAACTCCTGAGGATTCTGATATGCCAGCTAAGGTCAGAAGTCAGTGAACCTGACTCATGTATCAATAGTTTAAAATCTTTTCTGTGCTCTCATAGTTTGATTTGATTCTTGCAATTTGCCCTTTAGAGTTAAAAATATTAAGATCAAAGCATAAATATGCTCTCAGGCTGATAATTAACTAAGGGCACACATTTGGCATAGTCTAGGTGCCTGGGATGCCCCCTCTCCTATCAGAGTGCCTGAGTTAGAGCCCCCGCTGTGCTCCAACTCCAGCTGCCTGCTTATGCTCAGCCTAGGAGGCAGACAGTGATGTCTCAATGTGTTGGGGCCCTGCTGCCATGTGAGAGACCCAGATTGAGGTCCAGCCCTGACTATTGGAGGTGTCTGGGGAAGGAACCAACAAATGAAAAGTTTCTCTCTGTGTCCTTTTCTTTCTGTCTCTGATGAATAAAAACCTTTAGTTGCCATTTAAGTTATATGTTACAGGTTGGCTTTTCATTAAAAACCAATATATCCTGTATTCATATTTGGTAAACTATATGAATACGTGAAGACGTAAGTAAGAATACTACCTATTTTGCTGTTCTACTTTCTATTTAAGTGTTATATGTTCAACAAGCATACAAGTGTATATTCCCCATGAGTATTTAGTCCTTGGATTGTACCTTTCCTCTTGGGAACTCTGGCTGTTTCTGTGCCTGGCTAATTTCCTTTACTTGTATTGAATGGTATTATTCCTATTTTCAGCTGCATAAAACTGAGATCTGGAGAAGCAGCCTGATCTGAACTCATGGATCATGGTGCTGTTGAAATCGCTGTTGTGCAGAGAGTGGTGGAGAAGGAGTTACTGGGCCTTACGAAGTGACCTAAGTTTTTGTACATGTGTACTGATTTCTATTATAGAATCATTTCAAACCATATGTTTTGATCAGTCTTGCCCAGATGGTCATCCTTGTTTCATGCTTGTCAATTTTAGCACCTGTAGATTGTTAGCAATGTTAGAATTGTCAGTCAAATCATAAGTGACAGGTTTGGAATATGCCTGAAATGCACTTACCAGAAAGTATGGATTTCTATTCCTGAGTTTAAGTTCTGGAACTCTGTTTTATTTTAAAATGTCATGATTTATAAGTCATACTCATGACTTGTAACTGTTTGCTTCCATTGAGCCAGGTAGTAACAGTACACTGTAGTACTGATCGTAGTAGCGATTCACTGTTTTGAGCGGTTTCCTCCCGGCTGTTCTGCCTCTAGGACTTTAAGATGCTCCAGAGCCTGCATGTGGTAACCTTTAGCAGGAATGTGAGATTTATTTTGCTGTGCTCCATATCTTTGCAGGAGCCTCACTTCAGTTTTGTTTTTCAGATCACATAGATAGACCAGGGATAAGTCTTCCCAAGTTAGACACAAGTGCCTGTACCATATTTTTGTTTATTGTTCACAGTTGGAACTCAAAACAGACAACAACCCCCAATTTCCCTTATGTGCTCCCAGCGAACCGGTGTCTCACGCAAGAGAACTAAAAAGAAAAAAGTGCCACCCAAGACTCTTGAACCTCTTACTGTGAAACAGAAGCCCAGCATGTTGGAAATTGAGAAGTCGATGACAGCATTGGCCCCTGAGCAGTCTGGGCCCCAAGCCACTGAGCACACCTCCACGGAGGAGAACCGGGTCCTGGGCTTCGGCATTGTTCTCGAATCACCTGCCTCAGATGTAAGTTGATACCTTCTGCCTGCTGACTCAAACGTGATGTAACTGTCAGGTATTTTAGTATTAATACATTCTCCTCTGGGCTAATTTTCACAAGACAACTAGAGAAACTTGCAGAATGCATGTGGAAGAGAGGAAATGAAAACTAGTGATTTCCTTGTCTATAATTTTTCTTTTCTAAATATTTTGTGCTGTATTTATTTAAGCATGTCTCCATTCTTTATCTTTGGAAGAAGGCTGAGGGCATAAATAACCTTCTCACTAATTTCTTTAACATTTTTAATTTCTAAGTGGCAGTTTCCAATTTCCTCAATGTAGAGCACTAAAGGAACATAATTAAATCCTTGGTAGATGGGCATAAATGAACAGAACCATACAGATAAGGTCATACCTTTCTGGAAACACAAACTAATAATAAAAAAGGAGCAGTAGTACTAATTCTATTTTATAGATGCAAGCTACACTGCTAATTAGGTGGCAGTGCCATGCCATTTACTCTGTGTAATGATAGGTTAACACTCTGCAAAGGTTTTGCTATTTTAATATCATTGCCAGGGTGTTATGCAGTCCAGGATGTTGAGTTGCATTTGAGAAAACCATCTGACCTACCATTGTGTCTTCATAGGACCACAAATGAATTTCTTTCATAATGCAGTATATTTGCAACTGCATACTCCATTTACATTATGTTTATTTATGCTTCAGCCCCACCTTGTTGAGAGAATTCTTAAAATAAACAAGAATGAGTGATCTATTATTATCAGATTGCATAGGATGAGAATCCTGCTGAGAACTCCCACAACCTATAGAAGTTTGGAGTTGGGACCTAACTTTTAAATTTAAATTAAGACACAGATTGCTAATTTAAAAAAAATCCTTGTTCAAATTGTAGGAAGACAGTTTGCTAACATATAGTCACATTAGATCTTTAATAAAGAGTACTGACAAAAATAATCAGCTTCTGACCTTTTCAGATGGGAAAATCATTTGAATTTTTATCCAAACATTGGTATTAAATAAGTGTTTTTTTTTTAAAATATATGAGTACATCTTACAACTGTTAGGAAGTTCTTCTAGACTAAAATTTTAATTTTAAAATATCCTACCAGTCAGCTCATGTGATTATGTCATATTTTGATTCAGCTAAGGTCCTAGGTCAAACCTTGGGTAGATTATGTATTCAAAAACAGATAAATGATTCTACAGCACAAAATAACATTAATTCGACTCTAAACAGTTTTCATGGTGCTTTTCTTTATTTCCCTTACATTTTCTAAACATTGTTTTCTGAGAGGCATTGACTGATCTATTAGGACAGCAATTTGAGTTATATAGATTATTTCCACATAGGGTGCTCTGATGCAAGTAACTGAGCTTTTCCATTGTTTTAAGCTCAAAATGTACTTCAGAGACAAATTTTAAAATAACTGAAAAAAAACCTTACATATGTGTGTGTATAGTGAAATAATTCAGTTGCACTAATATGTGTATATATAGTTGTGAATTGTGTGTTTGATGGTGAGCAATGGTAAGTTCCCAGGATTGTGAGATTCAGGTCCAAAGTAGTAGGGCTGGGCAAGTGGTCCAGTGTGACCAGAACAGCTAAAACAGGGCGGCTCTGGTAAAACTCAGATAGTTGGGCTAGAGTAATAACCCTCAGTGTTATATATGGAAGCCTTCAGCCTTCCTTTTGTGAGCACTAGGAAGCCATGGAAAGTTTCAAGTAGAGGAATGATTATTTCTGTGCTTTAGGATAGTAACTGGAGCAGTATTGTGGCTGACAATCGGAGGGACAAAGAGAACAGAAGGAAGGAAGGTGAGGCAGCACAGTAGCAGTGAGCTTGGAAAGAAGGAAAATGAGTTGATCAGGAGGAACTTGGTGACTGAATAGAAGATAATTCCAGTCTTCCTCCTTTCTTCTTTTCCTCCTTTTTTTTTTTTTCTTTAATGAGAGGCACATCGAGATTGACAGAGAGCCAGCTCCCATCCTATGTTTCACTCCCCAAATATATGCAATGGCTGCTGCTGAGCTGGGGCAGGAACTAGGAGCCATAAACACAATCCAGGTCTCCTACCAGGGTCCTTGCTGCTTTCCTGGGTTCTACAATGGCAGGAAGCTGGAGCCAGAGCCATGCTATGTGGAACATGGGTGTCTTGATGGTTGGGTTGAATGCTCACTCCCACAAACCCAGCTTCCTAGACGACTTTCACTGTGGCAGAGAGAGCAAGAACAGCAGCAGGCACTCAGTTCTGCATGGGAAGTGAAGTGAAGCAGCATCCTCAAAATGCTCCTTAGACGCATAGTACACAAGAGAAACAATCAGTGCTGGGAGAAATGAAACACTGATGCACAGAGTCCATGTTTACTCCTTTTCTGAATATAAAATATTCACAATGTGGGGCAAGCATTTGGCCCCGCAATTAATACTCCTGTTGGGATGCCTGCATTCCATGTTGGAATATTTGGATTCAATTCAATGCTCTGTGACCAGTTCCAGGACCCTGGGAGTCAACTAGTGACCGACTCAGGTTGAGTTCTGGGCTCCTGGCTTTACTCTAGCTCAGTCCTGGCTGTTGAAGACATCTGGAGACGAAAGCGTGAGGACAAAGTCTTTCTCTCTGTCTCTCTGCCTTTCAAATTAAAAAAACAAAAAATTAAAAAAATTATAAAACTGACAGTTGAAATTAGCTTACAATTTATTTAATTATAATAATTAAATTAACTATAAAAATCAACACTTTAAAACCTGTGATTTGTAGGATCACACAAATGGAGTTGTGTGTATTCATGACACAAATGTAAGAATCTGTGTGGGACTGTAGATCATTGTAGGTAGACCACTGAATTCTGATTAATAACGATTATCTATACTCAAATGTGGAAAAATTACAAGGCTCTAATCAAAACCACTGAAATGTCAACACCTCAGAGTTTTTGTGAGCATCAGATAACATGGTATATGGGAAAATCCCGGCACATAGGAGTTACTCATTAAGTGTTACTTATTGATTTATTTTTATTATGTTTTTATTGGAAAGGCGGATATACAGAGAGGAGAGACAGAGAGGAAGATCTTCCGTCCGATGATTCACTCCCCAAGTGAGCACAACGGCCGATGCTATGCCGATCCGAAGCCAGGAGCCTCTTCCGGGTCTCCCACATGGGTGCAGGGTCCCAAAGCTTTGGGCCGTCCTCGACTGCTTTCCCAGGCCACAGGCAGGGAGCTGGAAGGGAAGCAGGGCTGCCGGGATAGAACCGGCGCCCATATGGGATCCTGGGCGTGCAAGGCGAGGACCTTAACCACTTGCGCCACTGCGCCGGGCCCACTGTTTTATAATTATTAACATGATTTCCTAGTCTTCTTCCCCAGCTTCTCAAATGCAGAGACTTAATAATAGTAATAATAATAATCCTGTGCTATCCTTGGCCAGATAAATAACCCCATTGAATCCTTACTCATTGTGACTCTCATTATCCTTATTTTTCAGGGAGCTCACACAAATTCACACAGCCAGAAAATGGGGGAGCTGGTTCTCCAACCCACAGCTATCCTCTCATCCCTTATCTGCTGTGAAGACTTCCAGAGGCCCATCCTAGCACAGTTCTTCTTCATGATGAATACTCAATAATTATGGGATGATTTAATACGAGAGAAAATCAGTAGGATAGACTCTAGTTATTTATTGTGTTTACTTGGACGTTTCCTGATGCCATGCTGATGGCTAAGGCAGCAGGCTCTGAGGGTCAGGTGCTGGGTTTGAGTCTTGGCTGCATGAACCTGAACAAGTGAACCTGCCGTGTCTTCTCCTGAGTTTCCTTTCTGTGAAATAGGAATAATAATAACTCCCCTCAAAGAGTTGGCCTTTCAGAAGAATTAAATGAAGTAATCTATGTAAAGCGCTTGGAATATTGCCTGGCACATTTTAAGCACTCAAACACTTTCTAACCTTAGCTATTCCACCTAACTACCTTTATAGAACAAATGTAAGTATTTTTTAAGTAAACTCATCTGTTTGTATGAATGAACAGATACATCTTGATAATAAATGTTTTTTAAAAAGGGAGTGACCAGAAACGATTCTCTTTTGGGCTAGGATTATTTGACCCTTTTAAAATTAGCACTTAAAAAAAATCAGGTCAGAATTACACAGAAGCAAAAGTAGAAACCCAAAACCAAACTTCAGGTTTAAAGACAGTATTTAGTTCTTTCTTCGTGATGTCATAACCCAGTACTCTGCTAACTCTGAGACATAACAATTGTTAATTTAAATCACTGTCTTTTGAAGACTAGATGTATTGACCAAGTGTGGCTTGTTTTTCAGCTCTGGTTAAAAAAAAACACTTAGATCAATTTTTAAAAATGTTTTTATAACAACTTCAAATAATAGAAAATGTTCTTCCATTTGTTACTGTTACTGTGAATATTCTACAGTAATCCTAGATTAAATATTGTTACCCAGCAGGTAAGTCTATGGATATTTATAAGCAAAATTATTTTACTGTATTTATTTATTTATTTATTTAAAAAGCATAGCAACAGGGGCCCGGCTCCAAGGCCTAGTGGCTAAAGTCCTTGCCTTGAACACACTGGGATCCCATATGGGTTCCAGTTCTAATCCCAGCAGCTCCACTTCCCATCGCAACTCCCTGCTTGTGGCCTGGGAAAGCAGTTGAGGACGGTCAAAGCCTTGGGACCCTGTACCCGCGTGGGAGACCTTGAAGAAGTTCCTGTCTTCTGGCTCCAGATCGGCAAAGCACCAGCCGTTGTGCTCACTTGGGGAGTGAATCATCGGATGGAAGATCTTCCTCTCTGTTTCTCCTCCTTTCTGTATATCTGACTTTGTAATAAAAATAAATAAATCTTTTTTTAAAAAAAAAGCAGAGCAACAAAGAGAGGATTTTCCATCTGCTGGTTCATCCTCCACATGTGTGTAGTATCCAGTGCTGGACCAGACCATAGTCAGGAGCCAGGAACACCATTCACGTTTTCTGCATGGGTGGC